GAGCTCAGTTAGATGAAGAAACAAGTTCTGTGGGAGGAAAACAAGTAAATGAGGCCAATGGTACATATGGAGAGGTTTGCATTGATGGAGATGGAAAAGCAAATGGCATAAACTCTGAATCTTTGAAAATACTGAATGAGCAGCTATGATCTAAAGTAGTAGAACTCCTCCAGCTGAGAACTGAGGTGGAAACTCAGCTGGTGATGGGGAATTCCAATCTACCTCCATCAAATTGGGAGGTGGACGGCTAGGGAGATAGCTCCATGGTCTAAGCACTGCCTGGCAAGCGCAAGGTCCCCAGCAAGCCCTGGAGCCCTGAAACTGGGCGTGGTGACTCACACCTGTAATCCCAGCTCTGGGGAGGCTGAGACAGGAGGATCACTATGAGTGTAAACTGTGTAGCAAGACCCCGTATCAAAAACAAAACAAGGGGCCGGGGAGATGGCTCAGTAGAATAAGCACTTGCCTGGAAAGCACAAGGGTCTGAGTTCAAAACCCTGGTTTCGCAAAAAAAAAAAAAAAAACTTGGGAGCCAGAAAAGTTGAACTGTTACCTAAAGATCCATGGTTTGGAACAAGAGCTAAAATTGATGGGGGAAAAAATGTAATGACTTCAAAATAGAGCTACAAAAAGCCAAACAAATCGATTCATGTCAGAAAAACAATCTGAATAGTATTGATCTCCAAAGACTAATAAGCACTTCAAGTGATAATATGCAACACACATACTGAGAACTAAAGAAGGAAACACCTAATTTACATCTGGGACTCAAGTACAAGCTGAACTACTAAGAAAACGGAAAGCCTCAACCAGAGTCAAAAACCCTTGCACCCCAGTTGGATTCACTGAAGACCTTGGGAAAGACAGTACAAAACTGTACTTGACTGACTTCACTACAGCATGCAAAAGACATGGGCCACCCTCACCAAAGGGCAAACCTCTTTGTCATACTGTATCTTGCCCTTCACAGGAAATAAAAAGATTTTATCAGAGAAAGCAATTCTCTAACCATGGACAGATAATGAAATATTGATTCCTAATGGTGGTACAGACTTTCAGGAACACAACACTTAAGGCAGAAATTCTCTGGAAGATAATTCTTGGGTATTCTCTAGCCCAGCCAGATCAAGTGAGACAGTATTTGGGGAAATTAAAAGTGAAACTTCGCCTTTATCCAACCTGCCGCCACTTTGCTCAGATCAACATAATCAACCCTGTCCTTATGAAAGTTAACTCGGTAGAGATTCATAATTTGATCAAGAGATCATTGCATCTCTCAGTGGTTCTCCCAAGAAATTACTTAACAAACTGAAAGTTGATTTTGATTAAAATTTTGCATTCTTCAGTAAAACAAATAAATACAGCCTGATAAAAATTAGTGACTCCAGGGCTGGAGAGATGGCTCAGTGGTCTAAAGCACCTACTTGAAACAAGCTTGGCAAAGCACA